AGAAGCAGGGCCGAGGTTTCGCCGCGTCCGCAGCTCAGCCAAGCTGTTGTTTTAAAAGAGCAATAAAAATGAATTATGACTAAACGCCTTCTCACTTAATGGTTTTAGACGGGGATCCCCGGCCCCGGCAAATACGTAAGAGGATTTTTATTTGTGCATGTGTTCCTGCAATTGATCTCTTTGATGACATTCTCATTCATAGAAAGAGTTTGATTTATGACTTTCGGAAGAATTGCGTTCAGCCCTTCCAGCCGTAACCCACGCATCCCAGCTCCACAACGTGTTGCAGAGCTGGGAGACAACACTCCTCGCATGGACGGGCAGCACAACACCGGACACAAACCCCCGCTCAATTTTTCGGCCACAAACCCCCGCTCAAGCCCCACTCGCCTGTGTAATGTAACCACACGCTCACACGCACTCACACGCACACAGGGAGCCGCGATCGCACCCGCCCGGGATCCTCTGGCCCCGGAGAGGCAGAGCCCGGCTGGCATCTGTTGCTCGGTTTTAGCCCGAAGGACGGGGCTCACCCTCCGCTTTGGGGTCCGGCAACGCCGCTAGCCGGGTGGCAGGCAATTTCGTGGAGATTTCTGAAAGCCCATCTTTGCTGCCGCCAGTAGAGAGTGGGGAGCCCCGAGGAAATTGTAACTTTAAAGTCAGAGTTTCCCTCTTTTCGTTATCAGTCTTTCACCCCGCAAGAAGGTTTAAACAGAAAAATATCTTCGGCTGTGCCCCCGCACCGCCACTCAAAAGGACCGAGTGGAGGGGCTGATTCCTCCCTAAATGCTTTTTTCCCCCCTGCGTTTCTGCCACCCTTTTGATTTTACAGGCTCTAACTTCTCCATTTCCTCTCCTTCTAGGGCTGATTTCTTGGACCGCTCAGCACGTGAGAAGTAACCAAGCGCATTCTCTGTAAGCTCTGATATTTTTTAAGATATGCTTCCTGAAACAGCTTGCTGGCTGCTAAGCACTACTTTCTAGAAAAACAGGATTATTTAAAAAAAAAAAAAAAAAAAAACCTTTCGTGTAAGTGTCTGCAGGAGACGCTTACCCTACTGAGTCTCTCTTATGTTTTGCCTGTAACAGAGAAAGTGCTCGTTCATGCTTTTGTTACAGCTCAGCATTTCCAAGCTTTGTATCCTCACGGAGATAAGATGCTACATTTATACATTAAAAGGAAGAGACCTCCATCAAAGCTGTGAATGGTTTTAGTTTGTTTCGTTTGTTTTTCTTCCTTGTGAGAACCCTTACAATAAAGAATTTGAACGTGTTTTTCCTCTCTAATAAACGTCCTAAATTGCCAAAAGGGGAGAGCTCGTAGTCAGAATGTTGGATTTTGATTATTAGTAAATTAATAGTAGAAGGGATGGGGAGAAATACCCGTCGTGTTATCAGTCTTGAAAGGAGAGAGAAAGAGAGAGGGAGAAAGAGAAAGAAGAAAGAGAAAGTTCCTTGTAGCAAACAAGAATTTATTCTACCAAAAATACTTATGACAACGCATCCTAATGCAATACAAAAATAAAAAGAAAGTGAAGATACAATTCCTATATGATCACTTTCTTACAGACCTCATATATTGCTTTCATAGAAGGACCTAGAATGTGGCTAGGTTAAAATTGAACACAACTAAAACTTCGTAAGAAACCGCAAAATGGCATAGCAGAGGGAGGTAACAAACAGAAAATGGGTGGGGGGGGAAATCACGGGAAAAATAAAGAAGAAGAATAAGGAGGAGAAAGCAGGACTCTTGGAGAGGACGTCTTTAATTTCTCAGTAATTCAGATGCTGCAAGTCAATTGTGGTGAGTGTGTCTGTAAAAAAGTCAAAACTGTCAGCAGAAATATCTACGGGACTGTCCAGAGATCCTGGCAAACTGGGGGAAACTGGGTGGGGGGGGAAATCACGGGAAAAATAAAGAAGAAGAATAAGGAGGAGAAAGCAGGACTCTTGGAGAGGACGTCTTTAATTTCTCAGTAATTCAGATGCTGCAAGTCAATTGTGGTGAGTGTGTCTGTAAAAAAGTCAAAACTGTCAGCAGAAATATCTACGGGACTGTCCAGAGATCCTGGCAAACTGGGGGAAACTGCATCTGAAAGCTGTAGGCAGGAATCTGTGGAGAAAACGTTAAAGTCCTGTAAAGAAGGGACATCTAGGGCCTCAGGACTGTCATTGTTCAGGCCAGCTGCACAGTTCTGGGCCATTGTTGAGAGGCAGTTTTGAACAGTGGGTGACTGATGTTGAAAATGTTTCAGATTTTTCTCATTGCTCGTTAAAGGAGAAACGGGGAAAGTTTGGGACTCGCCATTGTGTGCATTCTGCGCCTGCTGCTGGGAGAGGGCATTCTGCTGGAAAGCGTAGCCTTCCCGCTCCAAGAGAGCGCCGGAGACGTTGCTGAGGGCTTGCTCGAAGAGGGATTTCTCCTCCTCCTCCTCCTCCTCCGCCGCTTTCTCGGGGTCCTCTAGGCTCTTAAATTTCCCCTCGTTGTTTTGGTTCTCCTTGCACTGGGTCTGTCTCTTATGCTTCATCCTCCTGTTCTGGAACCAGACTTTGACTTGTCTCTCGGTCAGATCCAGCAAGGCTGCAATCTCAACCCTCCTTGGTCTACAGAGATACTTGTTGAAATGAAATTCTTTCTCTAGCTCCAAAAGCTGGGTGTTGGTGTAAGCCGTCCTCAGCCGCCTAGATCCACCGCTACCGCTATCGGAGATTTCAAGGGGGTCTGTTAAAAAAGAAAAAAAGAAAAAGAAAAACACCACCACCACACGCACACGCACCCCAAAGCACCACCGCCAGAAGAGCGAAAGCAAAAACACACGCACGCACACGCAAAACAGATAAATGCACGGATTGAATTTCAGCACCCAAGCACATCTCATCCC